CACGAACAAGTCGTGCGCCTGGAGTTAAGTGACACGTCTATCTGAAAAATGAAGAAATGTGACAAACTGTTTGGACCTACAAGTATTGAGCTTTGGAGAACTGCTAATCAGTCAAACGTCGACGTTCCGCAACGATACCAAAACAGTATTCTTAAATCAATTACATATATCTGAGATAGATGAGATTGACGAATATCTTGAAATGCTTACAATGAATGAGCTCATAACAAGGCTAACTAAGTCATATAAAGAAAAAATGGCCACTCAACTAACAAACTAGTTACCGCCACGAATAAGAAGATTGTAGCGTAAACACATTTGGGATTCAACTAAATGAGCTGAATAGTTTTCCACATAAAGGCAACTCAACGTTAGAAGGGTATGCCTGACATGCCAAAACATATCAAAACTTAACTGCTTATGGCAAAAAACGAAAAAATAAGGAGACAGGCATGAACTTATCTAGATTGGTTATAGTCTGGTTGTTTATAGTAGCCTAAAGTAAATCCCATTGCTCTGCTACTCATTGTACAAGGGATTTCCTAGTTTGAGACCAGGTAGTTGGTGCGGTTATATAGCACATTATTATTAATCGTAATTTTCTTATTGTTGTAAATTAGTGTCGCGCATCTTCTTTGCGAGTTAATGGCTTTGTGTGAATTGTATACAGCTCCGAGTCCAGTTGTTAGTGACATTTCTATTGTAGGTAGGTAAGTAATTGCTGCAAAAGGAAATTTAACCGGGTTGTGAAAGTTTTAGAATTTGTCAAATGGGGTAACCACGTGTTGTAAATTTAAATTGTGAGTCATCAAAGAAATCGAAATTCAATTCGTATTCCCGACATGACTGGAATAAGTTTCATTTGTGACAAAATTGTATATGAAATGGTTAGAACTATTTTAATAGTCCTATATTTGTGCAAATACTTCACAGCGCAATTTTTTTTAATTACAAATAAAATACTAAATTCCCTTAAGGTTTATTTTTATAGCATCCGACTGAAGTTCATTATAGCAATGTATTTCATTGAAATGTATCCAATGTATTCAAAGAAGCATCTAAAAGTCACTAGTCACTGTATCTACATGTCTTGTCACTTTCCACTAGGTGAGATGGAGGTCAAATACGCACTTATTTTTTATAAAAAAAAGTTCGTTCATAGAAATCCAGTAATAAATATTGTAATATAAAAAAGATTTGTTACTTACGCAAAACGAGATTTACAAAACGGGTTTGATCGGGAATCCAATAATCTCCCGCGTATTCCTCCGAGAATATAACTTTGAAATTTGAAAAAGTGAAGTATGAAATGATAAATGGTTTGAAAGTTTTTATACTGAAACTTTTCACGGTTTTGTATACTTTGTGTCTGGGCTGGAAGTTACTCAAGTATGATGTTTTAGTTTCCTTCATTAAAAAAACCGTAGACTACATACGGACAAAAGTACATCAATTTTGACACTTTGGATGGTCTTATCGCAAGCGTAACACAGCGTAACAAAGCGTAATACAGTTGAAATTAAAAAAGTTCTCTTGACATCGTGCATTTAGAAGCTAGTGAATAATTGCAATTTAGTAAACAAACATGTTGTTTTGTCTGTATTCGCCGTGGAATAAAATAGAAAGTAATGCAATATTTGACGACCTTCATTGTAGAATGGCTTGCACACCTGTTTTCATGGTGTCGCCATCACAGAGGTTCCGGGTTCGATCCTCAGCCGGGTCAATGTAGAAAACTAACTTTTCTATATTGTCTCGTGTCTAAGTGTTTTCACACAAGTGCTTTAATTACTTACTTTAGATTCAGAGCAATGTGTGTGATATTGTCTAATATTTATTTAAGTATTTATATAATAGAGTTAACAGTGCACTCTTTGTCGCGTTACTATTGAAATCTCATATGTCCACTACTTTGAACAGTCCAATTTATCAACTTGTAATATGTAGAAGACTTCGATGCATTACCTGTTAAAAATCTCACTTGGGAAGATTGATTACAGAGACATCTATTGATATATTTCATAACCTCACGAGTCATGTACCAAATACATAGGTTTTAACCATAGATATAGAAAAAAAGGGGAGATATGGTACGGGGGCGTGGTTCGCGTCGCCTCGATATGGTCAAAACGACCATATTGAGGTGACACGCCTACAAACATCGCCACAGTGACATGGCGATCGTTGTACATACAAGATCTCTCGTAAAACGTGAAAATGCCAAGTTGTAGCGATACATCTTGTAAAAATTGGAGTGAAAACAAAAATTTTAAAACCAGTGACAAAACAAACATTCCACCGTCTCTTTGCATTTTTACTTACTATTTGTATTATTATTCAATGTTTTCTTTTTCATAGAAATTTCTAGACTCAAATATAGTGATGTTCATTTACGAAGACTGATGTTTATCGACAATAAATTTTTACTGAAATGTTTGAATTTCTTACTATAATTTTTGTAATTAAAGTCCCTAAAATATCGAAGCGAAAAGCATTCACGTTAAATTGATTTCTTTTATTTTATTATTATTATTATTACTAAACATTTTATTTCGATCAACTTTAACACAACTCATATTTCGGACAACCATTTCAATTTCATGTCAATTTGGATGTAGTTGCTTGAAGAAAAATTTATTATTTGTGTTTAGCATATTTAAGATATTTAAATTCCATTATACTCGTAGATTAAACGTAAAGTATTTTTAATTTTTAAGTTTTTCCAATGAGTTTAAAATAAAAGAAGGTTGGATTGAAGCTGCAGGAAAATCGAAAGATTGGTTTTCTTATTACTATTTCTAACTTTGTTTCAATTTCCGTAGCAAATGCATTTAAAAAATAAATAAAATAAAATCCGCTTTATTTTACATGTGCATGCAAAATAAATTAGAAACAACTATAGAAAATTACAAAAATCCTTCACAAAAAAACATAATTTAATTTATTAAATTTATTGATGGTTCGAGTTTACTCTTGACAGTGACAGCTTCAGCAGCCCGTGGTAACGTATAATGGAAAATTGACACTGGCGACGATCGCCATATTTTGTATATTATTCTTATAAAACTGACACTGGTCCAAGCCTAGTGGCCGCCATTAAGAAAATAATAATAATTTATATTAATATAATAATACATCAGTACCAGTGTAGATATAGTATGAAAAATGGAATATTTTTTTAATATTAAAAACAGCCACATGGTTTCCAACTATCGATTAGGTAGGACCACATCCCTCGTTGAGTAGCGTCAGTTTAAGGTTAATAAGGTTAACATTTCACGGAGCGGTTTCCATCCGCGCCCGCCGGTTCTGCTAGACAGCGGTTTCATTTCAATACTTACGACCCTGCAAGTTTGTGCGGGCACGTAGCTGCCGCGGTTGCGGGCACGAAATCGTTGCGATTGTGGAACGGACCGCGAAGTTAGTGGTAGTTAATTGCAAGTCGCGCGGTTAATAGAAAACTTACCCTGCGTGCACCTGCACCACATTGCGCCTGAACCGACCGCCAAAGTGTGCGGGCGACGACGGCCGCCAAGCGCGCAGGTCATCGCGTCCTGCGCGGTTCTACTAGTACCCCGCCGCGGCAACCGCGAGCAACCGTCACCACTACAGGCGTAAAACGCGCCGTGATATGTGCTACTAATTTTACATACTTAACTGTTACATTCTACAGATGCCGCGATCCCGCGGCATACGCGGGTGAAAACCGCTACGTGAGTTCTTAGTGTAACGAAAAATGAGTTTCAGCGCCATCTAACGTGTAATAGTTAGCTATTATATACTAGTAGTATTTTTACTAAAACGCCACCTGTTGGTGAATGGCTGAACGAGCTGAAAAAAAAAACTGAAATATTGTAATATAACTCTTACTCAAGTGATTGTAAGTTTAATTTTGTTAAATTTTTTTAAGCCCTACCCAATCAAAATCTTTAAGTTATGGTAGTAGATAATAGAGCGTAAAGTTTGAATTGCACACAAGCTAAAAAGTGGCGACATCGGTACCCGATCTTACATAGCGTCATTACATATCCCCTTTTTTTCTATATCAATGGTTTTAACGGTAAAGCGACAGAGTTGCATAGAAAAATAAACTACGTCCGTACATAATATAGGCTCGCGTCTGGCAATGAAACCCCCTAATCGTGTTTTATGACCTCAGCGATAAACTTGGCATATGTAATTGGTGTTCATAGTATTTTATGTTAATACAGGGCGAACAGCACGTCAAACTTAATATTTAAGTTTGCAGTTTTATGAGCAGTAGAGCTCTCTCTGAAAGAAGTGCATCCGGGGAAGTAACGCCACCTTATCTATTTTCCCCGCCAAACAGTAATGTGCGCATTACTGTGTTCCGGTTCTGACGGTTAATACACATTGAACTTATCAACATATATGTCTCAGGGTGACAGACGCAGTGCCAGTGCCACTCAGATATTTGCGATTTCAAGCTCTGAGTGGCACTGCAACTGCAGTGGACAGGCGTGTCGCTTACCACTAGGCGCACGACTTGTTCGTCCCGTCTCTTAGTATTACACGAAAATTAAAAAATGACAGGTCAACTCTATGCCATTGGCGATAAGAACGGCTAAAGTCCTAAGTGTCAAGAAATGTGATAAACGAAAATACATTATCTCCACAGAGTTCAGCATTTCTTAAAATAACCCGACCACGCATTTCTCAAACAATGAGATAGGTTTTTAAAAATAATGAAATTAGTATTAATAAACAACCTTCCCGTTTACTTCCGAGTGATGAGACATGAATTAATTCCGATTACTGCCACGCTTTGGGAAAAACCCAACGTGGAATCATTCAAAATCTAGTGACGCGATGGGTTCTGTTGATATAGCCATCTCGTTCATATTCATTATATCCATCCTGTTTTAACACAGATATTTGCATAAAATTAGTATATAAAATGAACATCGTCCGGAATTATCAGTATGTTTACATATATCGGAGCATAAACTTCGTTTCTTAAGTTTATAAGTTGAACTAGTTTTATTCACCTTTTTACCACTTGTAAAGGTTATCGTGGCAAGATATCTACAAATAGGTATATTCATTTTTGAGTGTAGAAACAACTTTATAAGGGTAAGCCTTGTTTTGTAAAGCCCTAAGGCTTTATTACATATTTTGACAGACCTAAGTTTTCTGTTTTAGTACCAAACCTTCAATTACCTTGCATTTCTTTCGGTAAAGTATTTTTATTTATATTGAAAATTAAGTAGTTTAGTACCAGGAGAGCTCCTCTTGAAGAAGTTAGTCCAGGATAGTTCTGTCACCTTACCTATTTCTGCGGCTAAGCAGTAATGCGTCCCGGTTTTGAAGGATAAGCGCGTTTAGCGCACTGGATCTGATTCATATTTGTTCCAAATCTGAGACTATACAAATTTAGAAAATAATTCGAAGCCGAGAACATACGAAGATCGCTTGTACACCTGGAGATAAAATGATCCTTGTGACAGGCGCTTGTTCGTCCAGTCACTTGCTATCATATTAAAAAAAAACGTTTTCGGATGCAAATCGCGAGTATTTGTTTTTCCAAACCAACTGATTTATTTGAAAGTAATTTAGATACAAATAGTTTTCATTCTCCATATGAAGCATGAATTGTAAAAGCCTAAGAACTCGATATTTTATATACCTAAATTATAGTTGATGTTTGAAGAAACACGTGTAAAGTATTAATAGTATATAGGTATACATAAACAAGATAAAATGGTAATTTTATGTAGTCTTCCTTATTCATATATGACTGTCCAATTGTACCCAATGCCCACTTGTTATTACTCTTATCTTCTACAGCTACAAGCGACGACGTAGGTGTATTTGTATTATTGGTAACAAATGTTATTATTATTGTATAATTTTGATATATAAAAGATAATGTTGGACCTTTGGCTTACACTTTGTGTGCCGTAAAATTCGTCCATATTATACTCCCAGTCTTTATTGGTAGGTCAATGTCCCAGTCACAAAATTCGAGCCACTTTGCATTTTTATTATAAAATTGCTAGAATACAAAAATATTGTTATCATCGAAGAAAAAGTTTTCAGAATTCAAATTTATCAATAAAGACATGAATATGGTGTTCAGTATACCAGTTTTTAAATCGCATGAAGAAAAGAATTGTATGTTCCGGACAGAGTATTTACGATATCGAAACATTTTAAAAGTAGAATAGGGGGATGGCACCAATGATCGACATGTTAACGGAAATGTGTCTTCAAATTCGAAATCACTTTTTTATTTTTAAATACATATCAATAGTGATTACTTTTATCCTAAATCTTATTAGAAATTAATTTTAAAAAGATGTCGATTAGTGGTGCTTGTCGGTCACTGGTGCCACCCCCTATATGTTTCCACTCCAGAAAACTAAATTTGTGAGAAGTAATATGAAACAATTTATTTAACAATCAATTTGTTGCATTTTTCAGATCAAAATGGTTTTCAAGTTACTGACGATCCTTTCTTTGATAGCAATAACTTACGCTCAGAGGCCATGGTATGCTGGCTCTAAACCTATCGGCTATCCCAGTTCCCCAGAAAATAATGCTCCTGCTACTACCGACGAGTTACAAAATAAGTAAGCGAATCCATGTTCCATTATCATCAACCCATTTATACGTCCCACTGCTGGGCACGGGTCTCCTCTCAGGCGAGGGTTTAGGTCATAGTGCGCCTCGCTGGTCCAATAGGGGTTGGGGCTTCACACGTTTTCCGAGGGTTGTGAACCTTCTTCGACGTGCAGGTTTCAACAAGATGTTTTCCTTCACCGAAAAGATCATGATCATCAATATCAAATAAATTTCGCATATAAATTTTGAGAACCTCAGAGGTGCGAACCCGGATTCGAACCCACGACCTCTGCTTTAGAGGCGGTACATCAAATCATTAGGCAACCACGGGTTTTGAAAGCTCATTGACATATGTAGAGGAACGCTAAAAAAGCTAATTATGATAACAACGTTCATATAAATCACTGGCCACATATAATTGAACGTTTAATTTGAAAAAATAATGCTTAAATTTTTTTCGTCTTTTCATTTTGATTAAAACGTTCTACTGTTCATGTGAACATTGTTATCATAATTCAACCTTTTTTAAGCTTTTCTCAAAATAAATCATTGAGTGTATTTCATGTAAAGCGTTGTTGTCATTTTAGCTTTAACAGAATCGGTAAATTTTATTTTCAAATAAACATTCGATGCGTTAGATACAGAAACTATGGATTATCTATTTCAACTTTTTCCCCCACCATAATAAAACGTAAAGCAAATTATAATTAAATATTTAAATATAACTGTGGGTAGTACGTATACTGGGGTTCCATCCCTACTTTATGGTTATTCCAAGGATTACCATGCGTTTATGTGGCGAAAATCGGCTCCGGAGTGTAATTCCCAGCCAGCAAACTTATTCCCTGAACACTGTTACTTGGGCCTTTTCAAGGCGAGAGTGAAAAGGTATTATTTAGGTGTGCATACTCCATCGTTGACCTCATCGTCACTTTTCATCAGGTGAGATGGAGATTAAATGCGCATTTGCTTTATCAAAAAAGGGCGTCAGCGTTAACCCGTTATTAATGATCTCACTGGATTATTTCATTCATTTCTGTCGCATCAAGTAGACAATGCCTGGCTTTTATTTTCTTATTAAGTACCCTAACACTATTGTCATTTGTATCAGATCCGGAGATGATGATTCTTCAACAACTACCCAAAGTTTGCCCATCGAAGCTCAGGGAGACCGAGACCTAGTCAACCGTATAAGCAAGCTTCCCGTCGACCAACAACCTTTCTGGTACATTAACTGGCAAGCTCTTGAAGCCCAGAGACAAAATCCACAGACCTGGCCACATAAACCTAATGGTTTCAGCGATAACCAGGATAACTGATTTCAATAAGAATTAAGAACAAGTACATATGCACACAGGATGTTAATCATTTTAAGAAAATGCTGTAATACTGCTAAAGAAAATTCGTAACCTTGTTATAAATAAACCACATGATGTGTCATACGTTAAAAGTGCTTTTATCACAAAATAGCCGTAAAAATAATACGAACTACATGAAACAGATTATGTATATTACAATCGTGTGAAATTTTATAACGCTTCTATTCCAGCACAAAAATTTCGTTCAAAAGATTTAGTTCGGAGAATCGTCAATCCTCTCTCTCGAAAAGTTTCTTTTTGCAGATGTGGCCTTATAACCATGGGTGAGAATTATTGGTAACTTCTTATCATCATTTCAAGACTGTAGACGTTCCCTAGGTAGATATAGACGTATTAAAAAAATACCACAAAATACGGTCTAGCCTCATCCAAAAACTCCCTATGATTAACATTTAGTGGGACGCCGTCCTATATTACGACTTTCAACTCATATTTCTGACTCGAAAACGTCTTATTCCCTTATTATTTGTTTTTGTGTGGGAGCTATAAGGCATCTTAGAAATTCAATGCTGGTAATCAGTTAGTTCCGTTGTTTGTCACGTTCCTATTATTGATACTAATAGATAATTGGAACTTTGTTTCTTAGACAAAGCTTAGTGAAGTTATTCAAGAATTCGTGTTCATTTGCATTTACTTTTGATTGAAACTTAAAAAAAAAACATTTATTACAACCAGTGTTTTGGCTAGGTTAAAAGATATAGTAGTTGAAATTGGCATTACAACTACAAACCAAAGAGAATTTCAAATAAGACTGAACGACTGAATTCTTACTTTAAAGAAGGCTTTGTTTTTTGTTAATACTTTTAAGCTTATTATTTCTTTAAATTATTATCATTGAGTTAAAAGCAAACTTTGTTGCAATGTATAAAGTTAAAATAATTTACTTACACATATCGGTTTCAAAGCTCAACTAATATATTCTACTTCGTTTACCATAGATATTGACCCTTTGTTTAACCTTTACATAATTAGATTCTGTAACGCAATTACTTGTTTTAATTTTTTTATTTTTAATTAAAACGTTAGTAATCTCCACCTAAATAAAAGTATTTAATCAGATAAGTTTTTTATTGGACGTATTTTGTAGCCAACATGTATACTGAATGAGAAATCTGACACCCGTATTCGCAACATTTTATTTGTGTCGTGGGCGGGAATAAATTCCTTATCGCCTATAAAATCTCGAGCAAAAATAGCTTGTTAATGTAAACCTCTAGTCTATTGTTTTTTTAGGAAAAAAATACTTTTAAATGCTTTTTTATCCCCCTTGATCGTAAATAGTATGACTGCAGGATGGCTAACTTGACTATAATGCCCCAAATAAAACCCTCGGACCTTTTTTTTCATTACAGCCATGGTCGGTAACGAGTATTTGTATTAATTTATAATGTTTTTTAGTACATAGGTACTTCCTTACATAGGTCAGGTTTAAGGAGGTTCAGAAGGTTACTTAAGTTCAATACTAAAATATTCGCTTAAAATGTTATCTAAACAGAAATTTAATTGCAATTCAGCCTCAGACTACTTAAATACTTATTGATTTTAATTATTTTCTGTATAAAAAATTTGCTAATTTTTTTATAATCTATCATGGCTGTATGCGTGTTATCTTTTTAGAACATTGCAGTTCGAGTTGTATTATCTATAGAAGAATTTTTTTTTAAATCCCGCCATTTACAAAATCCATGATTGTTGTATTGTGGACCATATTAATATTGAATTTATTTCCTCGTAAATGTGATAAAAATGTTGTATGTGTCACGGACGTTAAAAAAATACCAAAATTCTTCTATTAGTTATTTCTTATTTGGACGTAGTTAAGCAAAAAGGATCCAATCCACAAAATTATCAAAAAATTTGTTATATATACCAAATGATTCCTAAAGTCTCTTCGATCAGCAAAAATTCAACATATAAACATAATTGTCATGTGTGTATCCATGGCGCCCGGGACACAGGATTTCCCTAGTGCGCGGCTGTGAGCGTTATTTAAAAAAATTAGAAAATCTAATTTTCCAATATGTTCCAACCGGGAATTGAACTCGGAACTTGATCATCCATTTTCGTATTCTTTTATGTATGTATAAATCTTTATTTATTGTGTATGTAAAGTTATATATATATATAGAGTGGAGTCATTTGCCTGTCAGGTATAAAAAAAAAAAAAAAAAATATAATATAATATAATATAATATAATATAATATAATGTAATGTAATGTAACGTAACGTAACGTAACGTACCGTACCGTACCGTAACGTAACGTAACGTAACGTAACGTAACGTAACGTAACGTAACGTAACGTAACGTAACGTAACGTAACGTAACTTAACGGCACGACACGGCATGGCACCGCACGGCACTGCACGGCATGGCAATAAGAGGAATAAATAATGTCTTATATGAATTTCGAAATACTCTAATCTTGCCCAGGTTTAATAGCTTTCCATGTTTTAACAATCGTTACGCTAAAATAAATACTTACAATGTATCTTACAAAACCGTTCAGGTTGGGCTAACGTTTCTCTTCCCCCAAAAACTGGGGTAAGAGGAACTCGTCGTATTTCATATAAATATAATATATATTTAAATATATCCGTAGTTAAGTCCTTAGTAAAACTATTTGAATCGAATTTGATCTTAAGACCACTGACATAGCGTATAGCTATCGAATCGTATAGCGTATAGCTATCAGTGAAAAATTAATTTTGGGGCAAGAGGAACATACAAGTTAAAGTCAGGGGTGACAAATTAAAGAAAAGCGAACCTGTTATAATTTTTTAGTACAAAGCATAATAAAGGCACATTTTTAACCACTCGTTTACAAATCAACACATTAAGTAACTTAAGTACTTTTTAAACATCGTCATAATAGAAAAACAATGTTTGGTCCAAAAATAAATTTATACTTGTAACAAAATTTATTCTTCTCTAGTCACCATAACCACTCTACTTTGAAAACCGTTTCACAAAATCAATTGAAATTTGGTATAGAAGTAGTATGGCCACGTAACTAACGTGCAATGAGCCATTTTTGCGTTTGTTCTTAGATTACTGACGTAACGTACAATACAAATAATGGCTTTTTTTAGAGCTTATGAAAATTTTTTGTAGGGTTCGACTAAAATATTAAATTTTCTAACAATTTCTGATGGAAATAATGTGCTACCAGAATTTTACTGCTGACTTTTAGAACTACCTTCAGTGTGTGATTGTTTACACATAAAATTGTAGTGTTGTAATTATTGTAACATTCGTCAGAAATTAACGTCATGTAAACAAAGTCGCTTAAATTTTACCAAAATTTACAATTACAATCAAAAACATTATTTGAACAAATTTAACTTAATTTCTTAAAAGTATATATGTATAGGTATAAAATAATTTATATGTATATAAAGTTGTGTTTGTTCGAATATGACAATATTCCATTATGACAGTTTATCAAAAAGTTTGTCACCCCTGTCACGGGGGAAAAGGAACGTATGTTTCTCTAACCCCGTAAGTACTAGACCCTCTTACACCAACAATGTTTTTGGCGGTTAGAATTTTGATTACAATGAAACTCGTATAATTTGTTGTTTTTGATCCGAAATAACTACTAAAAAGTAAAACTTACCGTTTTCTCTACGTGTTTTTCTCTAAAAATAATCTCCAGCACGTTTTTCACCAAGATCCAGCAAAGAAAAAATTACGCGCCCATCTCGTGTTTTCAGACTACATAACTGTATATTTTTTTCTCTCTCTCTCTCAAATTTGGAACATCGTAGCCACATCTCTTTACAACCGTTAAAACTAATTGGTTTGCCTGTTTCATCGACTGAGAGACTATAGTGCTAAACGTTTTACTTTAGGTATTATGGATTGTAGTCCCTCTTCCCCCGGTGTTCCTCTTACCCCACCTGACCTTAATATAATAAAATATAATATAATATAATATAATATGATGTAATATAATGCAATATAATATGATATAATATGATATAATATAATGTAATATAATATGATATAACATAACATAACATAACAACATGACATGACATGACATAATATAATATAATGTAGCGTAATGTAGTGTAGTGTAGTGCAGTGCAGTGCAGTGCAGTGCAGTGCAGTGCAGTGCAGTGCAGTGCAGTGAAAGAGTTCGTTCAGGGAAGTACTGCCACCTTTCCTATTTCTGCCGCCAAGTAGTAATGTGGTCATTATTGTGTTCCGGTTTCGAAGGGTAAGGGTGCTGGTGAAATTACAGGCCCATGGGACTTGTCAACTTATGTCTCAGAGTGATAGGTGCAGTAGGTGCAGTGCCCCTAAGATCTTTTCGATTTAAAGCTCTGAGTGGCACTGCAACTGTTATGGATAGGCGCGTCGCTTACCACAAGACACTAGACTTGTTCATCCCGTCACTTGGTATTATAAAAAACTTGTCAACTCTCATTGTTAGTAAGTGAAACGTCTTCGTCAAAGATCTTATGTCTAACTTCAATTTGCAACTATTTAATTTAGTTTTAAAACTCGTTGACCAAAGGCATTAACAATACCCATCGAACCATATCAACGTTTACTCTACGAGATTGCTTTGACGCTTTGTTGATTATTACTTTACAAATTTGTTGTGTAGTTTACAGATCATGGTGAATATAACAAATTTTTCTTTTTTTTTAAATTTGTTGAGGCACAGTTACACTTATATAAAAAATACATATTTTGAAAATTAACTTATAAATAAACCTATAGTCCCCTAAGTCTTTTTAAGGTCACGAAAGAAGAACCAGAGACAATACTGCGTATTTTAGAACGTTTTAAATCCCATCCTTATCCAAGCACAGCTTCTTCGATTTACCAATAGACCAAATATCTTTTATAGTTATAAACGCTGATCAAACTGGACACTGGAACACCAATCCACTAAATTAAACCCATTGAAATTAATCATAAATAAATAAATAAATTTAATGATTTCAAAATTCAATAACCTCAGTAAGGAGTATTAAAAAATACCGGCCTCAATAGTTCGTGGAACTACATCTATTTGCCAAGTTTTCTTGAAATCAGTTACAGGAAAGTGCGCGAAACCGGATTTATCATCATATATTTAGCTTCATTAAAGAAGTATATCCTCTGGACGGGGAAACTAAGGAGGCCCAAATAAGTCTCTGGTAGGAGAGATACCCCACGTCGTCACTCATCTCGCTGTCGGAACACCTCCCTCTTGGGCATGATCTATCTTGGCAAATTTGGAAGTCCCTAAATAGGCTGCGGACCTAAATCGGCCGAAGCAAGGAGTGTATGCATGGGTGGCGTTACAGCTCACAGAGCGCATGTCCGTGTGGCGTCTCTCTCCAGACAGTGGCACATCTATTGTCTTGCCCTGCGTGTCCCTACACCTGCACACGCGATGTACTGGTCTTCACAAATATAAACGTCAGAGTCGACTCTAGTTTGCCACCCTTAGAGATATTTTGTTCAGATTTAAATGGGACCAATACTAAGAATACTCTTTCCAACAAAAAGGAATTATCAAAATCGGTTTATAAACTTATCGCGTAATATACGTACACAAAAGATACAGTCGAATTGAGAACCATCTTCTTTTTTTGAAATCGGTTAAAAATGGCACTCGGATGTGCTACAAGATTTTGTAGCACTCAGATTAAAAATAAGTGTAGGTGTAGAGGGGTTCTTCGACATTTTGATGACGTCACCAACTTGAATAAAAACTTCCAAAACTGTGGCTCCAAATTATATTTAAAGGTTACAAAGTGTCAGGTTAAATTGGTAAATTGTTAACATTGGCTACATTTGTATAGCGAACGCAATTTATGGGTCATTTCCAAGTGAATAAACATTACTTAGGCCGCTATGCTCTATCGTCGATCATCGCGATGATATGATATCGCTCGTCACTTTTCTTCTATTGAGATGGATATAAAAAAAACTGTAATCGCGGTCATTATGAGTACGCA